CATTTACAACATGCAAATATGTTCCATATGTTACCGGTACACCTAAAGCATCAATCGTTTGTACATCCATAAGTCTTGCTGCGGTGACACGAGCCTATTAGAGAGAAGAACAAAAAAAAAACGTTAAGGCTGATTTATGAAAATAATGTCTGGCTTATGAGCATTTGACAACTGGCTTATGTAAACGATTACAGGTGAGTTACCTGTAACAGTTTTTTAACACCTCGTGAGAGCGTTGTTAGCTGCGATTTCGCATCCTCTCTCCGTTCAGCAAACCATCTGGTCATCATAGTCCGTATCGATTCTAACAGTCGAACTATGGGAAGACTTCTAGCATTTGATAGTGCTTGGTTCATTGATTCTGCAATATTCGTAGTCATTAAATTGTACCTTTCACCTGGGATATGAACATGCGCCCACATTTGGACACCAGCTCATTGGAAGTATCCATGTAGTTCAGGATGAAGCGCTTCAATCTCATTGAACACCTCAGTAAAATCAGCCAGCCTAAAACACCTTGCTGCTTTTTTCACCAGAGGGAACAAATGTTTTCCTTTGAATTTCACCAAAATGTTCTTATACAAATGGTAAGTGCAAATTCCACGAGAAGTCAACGGATACACATCACCAATTGCTTTCCCTATTGACTTATGTCTGTCCGAGATTATCGCAAGATCCTTATCGTCAGGAATAACAACTTTGAGTTGCGTTAAAAACCAACGCCAAGAATCATCATTTTCAGTGTTAACAGCACCGAAAGCTATTGGGAAAATCTGAAAATTACCATCCTGAGCTAGGGCTGTTAGAAGCGTCCCTTTGTAACTACCATGGAGAAACGTACTATCGACAATAACAACTTTGCGCATGAAAGGAAACCCAGCAACACTCGCACCAAAAGCAATGAAGACATATTTGAATCTTCCACACTCATCAATTTGAAGACGCGTGACTGTACCCGGATTTGCCCGTCTTATCATGTATAGGTAAGAAGGCAATTCTTTAAAACTATTCTCAGGTGTGCCCAGATCGATCTGCCTTGCAAACTTTAGCGGATACCCATCACCAATAATCCATCTGTTGACACCAACATATTAATAAATCAGCCGAAATAAGAATAACCCAACCGTATCGTAATTATAAGTCAGCCATAATATATCTACAACTCAGCCGTAAACAACCTATAAGTCAGCCGTAAACAACCCATAAGTCAGCCAGAATGTATTAATAAATCAGCCGAAATGAGAATAACCCAGCCATAACGTAATGATAAGTCAGTCGTCAACAACCTATAAGTCAGCCGGAGTGTATTAATAAATCATCCGAAATGAGAATAACTCAGTCGTAACGTAATGACATTTCAGCCATAATGTATCAATAAGTCAGCCATAAAACAATCTATAAGTCAGCTGCAAACAATCTATTACCTTTATATTAAAATGCTTATTGATAATTATTCTGACAATGCGAGGTTTAACGTACGACCAACGTCACCAAGAAATTCCCTGTAAAGAGCTCCCAAAATATCAGGTGTTGCTTGTCGGGATTGATTAGAATGTTCCGTCACAGAACATGTGTGTTCCGAATCGTATATACGAACATAAAAATGCGGCTCATCCCCTTGTTTAGATGCACGAACTCTCCAACGATATCCATCCACCCAACACTTAATAATCACTGTACTCGGATTTGATACTGGTACATCAAAATCAAATCCATCCCTTACCGAAAGAAGTTTCAGTCGTTTCTCCAACTCGTCTTTGCTCCCGTATCGTTGTCCTACAACGAGGTTTAGCAAAGACATCTCCAACCTTAAAGCCTCCGAGTTCCCAATCGATCCGGTCATTTCAATGTTCTGAGGTCTCTTCGTAGGAGGCAGAGTCGGTGAATCTTCATCTTTATTCTGAGGCTCGATATATACAGTAAAGTTATCATCATCAGATAACGCACCATCGGAGTCGTCGAAAATATCAAATCAGCTTGAAAATTCATCATCTTCTTCTTCGTCATCTGCTTCTTCGACATCTTCATCGTCTTCTTCATCTTGGTTTTTACTATAATCATAACAGAAACCATCAAATCCCCCACTGTAATTTTCGCATCTAGATTCTACTTTTGAGTCAGAACTGATTGGCCGTTTCATCCTTCCGACTAATTTCGCTAGATTCTTTCTCTGTTAACTCAACACAGAGACGTAGCTGATCGATTTTCCATAGGCTTAGAAAACATTGCAATTGTCGATCATTGGAGACAAAAACTGGTGGAGTATCATGTGATATATTTTTCATAGTCTTGTTCGAGAACATGTAGCTCAGATTTACCTGATGGCTCAACTCCTTCAATCTGTAGCCATCGAGAACCAACTTCACAAGCTTGTCGTGCGTTGTTTCCGCATCTATCTACACAACTCTACACCCTCTATCGTCGGTATTAAATACATATTTGTGTTTCTTTACCCAATTATCGGAAACTACAATTACCGAAACTGGATTCATCATATATCAGAGAAGGATGAACGAAAATGAAGAAGAACGAGGAAGACGATGACGAATTCGATGTTCAAAATTTAAGTTCTGGATATCTCTGTTGATGTGAAGAACAAGGTGAAGAATAATAACGACGAGAAAGATGATGACGACGACGACGAGGAAGACGAAGACGATGTTTCGTATTTCTCTGTTGATGATGACATGAAAATATGCATCCGACGTTATTTTTTAATTGATGAAATGGCAAGTAAGCCACCAAACGAACACGTAAATCAACTGTCTTAAACCAGCCATCAAACAAAAATTCAAGTCAGTCATAACATGAATACTATTACAGTAATTAAAAACAAAAAAAACAGCTGCCAAATTCAGCTGTTTAATGTCGTAACTCAACTGAAAATCTTTAGCTCAGCCGTATCGTTTAATAAGCCAGCCGTCAAAGCATGTTATTGTGGTAATCAATCTTTCGCTACTAAATTAGTCGTAATTAGGCCAAGTTTTTCGTTAACCCAGCTCATTATGGCTGATTTATGACACTTACACAAAAATCAGCCGTAACGAAGCAATAACTCAGCCAGCCGGAGAAAGTTAATTCAGCCGTGTCGAAACAATAACTCGGCCAAATTTTGACAAATCAACTATCAGACTATAACTCAGCCATAACTTATGGTTGGGTTATGCTCGTAAGTCAGCCGTTTTCTAACTCAGACAGATTTCATTAAGTCAGTCGAAACACTAGGCTGGGTTATACACGTAAGTCAGTCGTTAGCTCATAACTCAGCCATTTTCCTTAAATCAGCCGCAACATACCGTAACTCAGCCGCTGTAGCGCTTTACGGCTGAGTTCATTAATACATGTCAGCGATTTCTGACGTGGCGGCACGTTTTTTCTGATGTGGAATTAAAAAATAATGGCATTCCTTGTAATTACGTTTTTTCCTATAACATATAACAAGAGCACATTGGATATGGAAAATATAGGCAAAATATAATAGTAATAAAAAAAAATTTGTATGTAACTGGTCATATCACCTAATTTGTATGATATCTGAGTAACTTTCCCAAAAATCAATGGTCAAAGAAACAAGTTGTACATGTATTTAGAAACAGCAAATACAATGTCTATAAACAGCTAGTCTCCAAAACATTAGTAAATTTAATTAGAGACTGATATTTGATAATTCATTTGTTTGAGAATCAAATCATAGTATAGAAATTCATAAAAGAAAAATCGATGGATACGACAGAAACATCAACTATGGGAAGGCTAGCACCAAATGTCGATTTGTGTTGCTTGAAAAATCGATTAACATCTTAAGTACTGTCGCGTGCTTTTTATTCACTACTTTCGTTGTCATTTTTCACAATATTCCTTTTGTAAAATATGAATTTTATAAATTGATTTTGTTGTTTGTTATTGATATATGATATAAGATCAAGGGGGTATGATCTTATAATTGATAGGTGAATGGATGGAAACAAAGCAGCTGGACTGAGGTCTCTTTCTACTTGTTCAAAGGATGATCGAAGTGGATGGTGATGGAATCAAACTGCTGGACTGAAGTCTCTTTCAGGTTGATCAGTGGATGAGATGGATAGATGGGTGGATCGAAGAACGCCACTCAAGGGTGTGGAAGCCCCTGTGATGAGTTCACAAACCTAGTCTCAAGGCATCGCACACAAGAGACATAGATTCAAATGTTTACTAAGTGAAGAATTCAATCTTGCTTAGATAAACAAAAACAAAGCCAAAGCTTTAGAGAAAAATCTCTTTTAATTTCCAAAAATTTCTATATCTTTTTACAATGAGAACAATGAGCTTTTATAGCTCTTACAAAAGATCTTTACAAATAAATACACTTAAATGAAATTATTTACATTTAAACAAAAAGAGAAAAATAAGCTAAATCAAATAATGGTCTTCTTGCCACCAATCTTATTTTGGACTTGAATGAGAATCCTTTGACTTTATAAATCATAAAGAACAGATTCTAATAATAATTCACATATTGAAGACCTTTGATTTACTGATTTTTGATATTGTATCAATATAGATATATATAATCAATATGTGTTTCTCGTTTCTCAACCAGCCGGCTAATATATTTCGTCAAATCCATTTATGAAAGAGCCAGCTTTATAATACCCATCAAATGATCACATTTCATGCATATTGATATTATCAAAGAGATTTGTAGCATCATCAATTTTGCAATAGCATTTTATACCCACATCAAATAGATTTATAGCATCAACATTATATCCAATTTTGCAATAATACAGTTAGATTTTATCAGCCACTAAGTTAATATGATTATGATCCATAATCTCGGATTCCCAACTAATGCAACACAATGGATGTCAGTGACATATTGGAATTCATGTCAAAACAATACATGTATGTTTAATTGATGAGATCACCAATACATGTTCAGTATCTTGCTGTAACTATAGAAGAACTCTACTAGAGTCACATGATTGATCTTCTGAATCTTTAGAATTTACTATTTAGATATATGATTATTGGTTATAAAATATTTTCTCATATTCACTTTCCCTGACATAGACAACCATCTATGACAATTCTTTTTTACATAGTGTGTACACAGTATGATAATAAGTCTAACAATTATTATTATTTGTCAAGTGCATCCATCTCATCTCATATGGTGGATAAAAGTAAAAAGCTAAAAAAGGCACATTTCATTGCATTTGGAACCAAATGTTTGCATCAATGGTAATATTTTTCTCCAGACTGTGTTGCAGAAGAGGCTCGATATTGGATACATCATAAATACTCAGTCATAACAAGATTTCAAAGATGTATAATGGAGAGGATCTCTGTTTCATTCAGTGTTCTCAGGATACTGTCTTCTTGTTCTTGAATGGAGACAGTAATGAAAAATGGCGAGAAGCTGAGAAAAAAAAACGCAGAATAAATGAACAAAGGTGAGCAAGCTTTCTTTAGACTCACATCGGTTCTATTGAGGATCACTCACTGAGAGACCTCATGCAGATTATTAATCAAAATATAGACGGAAAAGGAGAATTTATTTTCTAGAACTAGAATGTTTCTAATGAAAAAGAAGGTTTTTTTAACTTACATGTATGTGAAGCAGCTGCTGCTGTGGGTGTTTCATCTTGAGATATGAGATTCTTCAGTGTAAAAGCTGGATAACAAAACAGAAACCTTAATACCCTCCCAGTTATATAACGAGGCTTCATACCGACTTATAGCTAAGGAACAAAAGTCATGATCATCATATTCTCTATACCACACCATGTGTTCAACATCAGTAGAACCATATCCTGGTGATAAAGTTAAAAGTTCTTGGTCTTATGGGACAATGTAAGTTTAACCCTAGAGCAAATACTTCAGTGCGACAAACTTGTAAACAAGAAAGATAGAAGGATGCAAGAAGTTTGTACCTTCACTTGTTGTAGCAGCAGTTACAACTGAATCATGATCCTCATTGATATTGCCAGCTGCATTATTAGACTCGGTATGGTATTCACTTGTCGACGAAGACTGACTCTTTTTCCCAAATTTCAACAGCTTTCTGAGCCCTTTTGACGCTGAATCCTTTGTTTGAGATTTCTCTGAGCCCTCACTTATCTTCTTCTCTGGTATAAGGACTTTGACAGTTTCTTGCCCTGTCTCATTTGAACGTAAGCTTGATGCAGGTGCTTGGGAATACTCTGAGTACACTGTACATGGATTTTCTAACGAAGAAACTCGAGCATATGGAGTTTCATATGGTTTTTCAACAACACTTTGACTTGTCAGAAACTTTGGTGTTTCTGTTACCAAGTCACTTAGAGTCTCCAATCTAACCTGAAAGCCAAAAAACCATCCCGGTTATCAAAACCGTTTACACAGAAGATAAATTTGATCAGGCAAGAATAAGAGTGCTTACTAAGATTAGATCATTCCCACTCTCCTGCATTGTTTCAGTGGCTTCCTTATCAGCTCTTTCAGAGACTACTTCGGACTTCTCGTGTTTCGTCTGATCTATACTTATACTTCGAGCTGAACTTGGCAACACCATCACCACTGTCTTCTCAACCACTGGAGTTTCATCAACATCATTTTGGCACAAGGATTTGTTCTTGTTACCACTTGGTTTAATCTCAGAGGCTGAAGATTTGATTTTCTCTACCCCTTTCACCAGAACATTCGTAGGACCTTTGGGTGGTTTTATCTTTAGTTCCGGAAGAGATGCGATTTTCGCTATATCATAGTTAACAATGGCAGATAATTTCTTTATCTCAGGAGCATCAGATACTTTCTTGGACCCTATCGTGCGCAGTGACCTCGCTGAAGAACTTGGTGCACTATTATTACCCATTTTGGGTTCTGATAATCGTCTTGTCCTTGAAACTGGCTTGTTCTGACTATCTAGACTAACTCTGATTTCTCTCTTAGACAGAGGTAATGGTGAAATCGACCTTGTTAGCCTATTTCCTGTTGATATGCTTTCTCTCTTAGATGAAGGTACCGGTGATATCGACCTTGTTAGCTTATTTCCTGTTGACTTACTTACGGTACTCAGTTTACCATTCTTGGGGACTTTTAGGAAGTCATTTGACCCTAAAGAAGCACTTCTTCTCGGAAGACGTTGAAGAGGTGATAATGATCCTGGTTCTGTGTCACTAAACTTAGAGGCTCTAAGAGGTCCAGGAGAAAACTTGTTTAGAACTTGTTTTCTTGTTTGTTGTGCAGGCAATTGTGACTTGCTTATGGCTGGGTTGCTTTTAGAAGCAATTCTCTTTTGCCTTGCTATTTTCAGATCTTCGATGCGTTTCCTCTCTTCCTCTTCCTATAACAAGAAAGAAAGTATGGCAATAAGAGAGTGTTATGCAAAGTTTCAGCCACAAGTTGGCTTATGTCCTTGGAGATTCTTGTTTCTAGATTATTAATAAAAGAAACAGCAATTAGCTTATCAATTTGCTTAAGTCTAGATTTTACCTTTTCCTTTTTCATTATCAGGAGATCAGCTTTGAAATTTCTAAGCTTATCAGCACGTGCTCTTGCTTCATCTAAAGGGCTCATCTTTGTGGGTCTTCCTTTTCGTATTGGCCCTGAAGTTTTCCTCTTATCTGCAGCATCATTAGAAAGTCTTGATTTTGGATCTCTCACTGACTTCTTAACAACTCCAGCTTCCAGGTTATTCTTCTTCTTCAAAGCTTTGGATCCAAAATCTAGCACAGGATCATACCCAGCAGATAACTTCTCTGTTTCTCGTTCTGGCACTAGGCTCAGATCATGAGGCTCATAATTGACCTGCTTTCTTTCATTTCCATCAGCTTGGTTGTACGAAGAGATCTCTGATCCGATGTCCATAGCATTTCGCGCATTGCTTCCAGCTTCTCGAGTAACAATATAAGAATCATCATCCATGTTAAATGATGATCTCTTATCAAGACCATTCCTTGGCTTATCAAATCCGTTCAAGTTGAGAGGATCAGAAGGATTCTCAAAACCATTTTCTCTCTGGTGAACCATAAAAGAGTCACTAGATCCCCTGATTCTACGAGCGACAGATCCATTCCGAATGTCAGATGTATCCCTTTCTTGAAATTTCCTTGCTTCACGTTCATCATAAGCCAAAGGATCATATTTCCCTGTACTTTGCCTCTTCTTCCCTACAGTCTCCTTCTCCATCATATGGTCAATGGTACGTTCTTCTCTATCAGCATCTTGCAGTAGAAAAGTCTGAAAAGCATTCCAATCTCCAGTGTCAGCCTCTGTCCCTTTGGTTGCTCTCTCTTTACATTCTCCGTTTGCCTCTTCATGATTGTTATCACCATCAGATTCTGTTCCTGAATGATATTGCGTCTTTGAATTAATGTAATTTATATTTCTCATCACCACCTTCCCTGATTTCCTTCTTCTACTACCTGATTTTCCTTTCTCTCTGTCCTCATCTTCTGACTCTGAGTCCTCACTACATGATGAATGATGTTTCTTAGCCTTTCTTTGGCCAGAACTACGTCTAGAATCATCGGTAGACGGATAGGGAGATGGATATGGACTAGCTCCTGGATAGTTCGGGTAATACGGCATGCCCTGCATTGTATACCCTTGAAATACAGGAAAAGTACCAGGAGGAGAGTGAACTGGCCACGGTGCATACATTGGCTGTGGATGTTGACCTTGCACATGTTCTTGATTTACATTTGGTTTATTATCTGGAGGAGACTTCACATCTGGATACAAGAAGAACATTGAATTAACTCAATAAGTATCGACTGTACAAAAGCAATGCCAAATGATGCAAGACAAGATATTTAATTTCCAGCTATTATGGCTCATATGGATCATCATCTTACCACTATTTTCAGGTGTCCCGGGCAACGAGTCCCTACGCATATTAGCGAACATAATCCCTGAGTCGTTCATTGCAGAGATGTTTGGCTGTGTTACCATTACTTCTGTTGCTTCAATTTCAACCCACTGGCCAGATTCGTGTTTTTTCTTCCACAAGTCCATGAATTTTAAACAGGCCTCCCTATGACATTGATGAAGCAAACCATGAGATAACTAAGTTTACTCAAAGATCTTTCAAACTTTATCACTTAAATGGATATGAACAGGTGAAAAAGATAATAACTTCTCACATCAAACGTGAGGCTCCAAAAGATTTCGCGAAAGATATTAGAGGGAGCATATCATCAACAACGAAACCAGCTGCCACAGCACGTGCAAATGCCATTCCTTGTTCTTTCTGCAACACTGTCTTCCTTGTCTCCAGAACTTTCAGAACTTGAACTCTGACAAACAATTCCACATTACATATCAGATACTTAACTACTCTTTTTTCTATTAACCACACAGGAAAAAAATATCTTTCAAGCAAAGGGGTTATACTTAGAGTTTTCATCTGATGTGGTAGACCGATTTGCTTGCTTTGGATGTGAATCAGGCTGTCAAAGATGCAAGAAGATGAAATCAATTCTTCACTCCAGAGAGAAAAATATGAGAAGAGTATCCATCTAATTATAGAAACCATTTCAGTTCTAAGTAACCTCGTAAAGGACAATAGCTTTCTCCTCGTTGAGCTGTAGCAATGGCCTGCTTCCTGATTCACATTCTTAAAGATTGGTTAAACGGTAAGATCAAGGGCCAAGAGGAGTAATATTTTCCATTTTATGAGTTGAGATAATGGAGCAAATCTTTGCTAAAGCTTTACAAAAATTACAAAAACTTATGGACTGACATCAACAAAACTTTGCCAACTTTGTAGCATACCTTCAGTACTCTCTGCTCTTTTCGCTCGTTGATCTTCTCCCACCTGTTCACACAATCTAACATTAAATCCCACCTACCATACACCAAACAGACTAATCAGAAACCAAATTTTACTTACAACAGTCAATGCCATTTCAGAGTTGTTCTGAATACCAATTGCTTCCTTGATCTGTATGATCTCAGTTTCTAAAGCGTAAACACGTTCTAGGACATCCGGATTGCTCACGAATCGAACAAACCTAACGAATAACAAAGAAGAAAAGACTTTTAATTCCACCTTGTCCAATCCCGGCCCTAAAAAGATCCATGTTAAGACAATTTATATGTATGGTATTAAACCTTTCAATTGTTCCCTTAGTGAACCAAGCAGCATTGTCACTATCCTCAGGCTTAAGAATAATCGAGTAGCCACCTTTCGATACTTGATCTTGTGCAGTCTTCAAGTGAGCAAGAAAAGGATCAAGCAACCCTGTAGCTATTTTCTCAGTCTTTCCATTAGCTGTTACCAACAGATCACACCTGAAAACAACCCACAGACGAGAGACTTAAACTTTCCGTTTTAATTTGGTAACCAATCCTAAGAACTTCAACGAGTTTTGATCTTAACAAGAAACCCAAAAAAAATTGCAATCTTTCGGCTTTCGTGGAGCAATTTCTTACAAAAGTTTGCGACTTTACAGTTTCTAACCCAGAGTTTAACAATCTTAACTAACACATTTTGGATCAATTACAATTCATCGACTTTGATCTTATCAAGGAACTAAAAAAAAACGCAACCTTTCAACTTTTACAGAACAATTTTCTCACAATAGTTAGCCACTTGACAGTTTCTAACACCAAGTTTAACATCTTAACGAAGACATTTTGGATCAATTACAATTATACGAGTACTGATCTTATCAAGGAACTAAAAAAATGCAATCTTTCGACTTTTATAGGAACAATTTGTCACAAAAGTTAGCGACTTTACAGTTTCTAACACAAAGTTTGACATCTTAACTAAACATTTTGGATCAATCATAATCAAAGAAAGAGAAAAAGAGATATATTACCGGGTTCGAGTGGGAGTGAGCTGAAAAACAACTGAATCAAGCCGAGTCGAAGATTTCATCGCAAATCTTAAAACTTTTCAGATTACTATATCATCCGAAGAAGAATACCAGAAATTGAAGGAGAGCTAAATTGAGAAATTAAATAAATAAATGAAAAAGATGTCGAAATGTCTCAAAACCCGCGTTTGTGAGAGAACTGAAGAAAGAAAATCAAAATTGCAGAAAATCCAAACTGATAGTGGAGAAAAGGGAAATCAGATGGAGACGAAGAAGTGGAGAGAGAAGCTTGTCTTCGTTTTCTGCTTTGGATTCCAGCTGGTACAGTGAGAGAGAGAGTGATCTGCGAAATTTCCGAGGAAATGTGGGGATGAAAAATGTAAAATCATAGATTATTTAGGGGCAAAATCGGAAATAAAAAGATTGATTAGACTGCTGTGAAATTAGTAGTAACTTACTAGTGTTTGCTAGACGACAAAATCCTCCTCAATACCATCGGCTCGATAATAACACTATGGCTTGCTTGGTCTGACCTTAACCCTCTCAAATCGCAACGGTAATATTGGTTCTATTTGTTGTATATCTCCTATATAGAAGCATTTTTAGAGAGAAACCTTAAATTTATAAAATATTATAATAGTGTGTAGAATATTATAATGATGTCATTATATTGATGTATCATCACCATAGAACTTCTCAGTATTTTTATAAAAAAGACTTCTATTACTATAATATTTACATATTATGCCATTATGTATTATTATAACCAAATATATATTATACTTTTATAAACTATCCATCGATATATATTAGTTTATATTTAAAAAACACGTCTACACATGTACTTAAATTTATACATCGACATATTATGCACCATATAAATATATTTTTCATTATAATATGATGTAATTTTTATAATGTATTCAACTATTATAGTTCTAAAAAAAAAAATTAAAATATTATACATTAATCATATTAAAAAAGAAATAGTATAGTTAGTAGATTCATTCATTCCAATAGTTAGTATCTTTTATATTTGTATCCAACATAATTATTAATCGTTTATACTAATTTTGTATTTTGATTCGTAAATCTTAACTTTAGAAATAGTGGTTTAGAATAAATCGCATGCATATGAATTAATAAATAATTTTTTAATTTTGATTGTTAAATCTTCACTTTAGAAATAGAGGTTTAAAATTAATCGCATGCATAGAAAGATAAACTAATCATATATAAATTAATTTACATGCTAAATATGCATTACATGATTTGAGAAAGACGTATCAATATGCATTAACTTTAAATTATTCATGCATCAATATATAGGAACTAATAAATTAAAAGGGGATCAATATATGCCAAGTACTCCATATATATGCATTAAATGAGTAATTGCCAAACTTAATAGTTGATTAATAACGTTATTGATGTGTTTTCGTCTTTCTCAATCTATGATTAGTAGAGTTAATACGTATTTCCTAACTATTAGGTAATAATCGATGCTACTAATTACTATTTAAAAAATGACATATTTAATTGTTCATTTGATAGTTAGTAAAAACATAGTTCAACCGATTAGTATCTTAAATATTAACTTCATATCTATAATTGAGTCATTTCGTTATTTAATGTCTTATATTTTAAATATTACATGTGCCATAAATACTTATCATATATATCATGATTTAAATTGTCACCCAACTATATATAAGACGTGTGCTATATGCACTCACATATCATTTTCTCATTGCCTTTTGTGGTTAAAGTTTTTTACTGTTCATTCTTATGGCATCTTTTAGTTCTACTACTGATCTGAAACCTAGAGGCTTCAATCGTTTTCTGGGTTTGAATTTTATTTTTTAGTTCCGTTTTTTCAATAATTTGCGTCCTTTATGTTTTGTTATTTGTTTCCGTAAAATTCTAATGAAGCCTTTATTTTTAATCTTTGGTCTATTTACATATTGTTTTGTATATAGTTTAAGTATATTGTATTATTACAACTTCAAACTATATTCTATTTGATTAACCTTAATATTCATCAGACAATAAAGAAATAAGTTCTAAGATTCGAGTCATATACAATGTGATTATTTGTTTATTCATGTGACACCAACGTGGAGGTTTGATTGTAACTTATGTTATTCTCTATTTTCTCTTTTGTTTATAATCCTTTTTTTTGGTTAGCCGTTTTAATTCTTAATTATTTATCTTAAAATAATTTAAAGAGATAAAATAATTGTTTATTATAATTATATCAATCAAGAAATAATTTGTTTTTTCTTTCACAGATTAAGTTATTTATATCTATCATTTTTTTATATCATTCAAACGTATATTTAAACCCATTAGAGTAAAACAGTGTATATTGATTGGACGTTACAGCGGTTTTATACTAATATAAATAAAAAATACTATATTATATTATTAATATATTTTACAATTATATTATATAAAACGAAAATTAAAACTAAATATATTATGTTATATAATATTTAAAAAATTATATTAATTTAATAAAAGATATTTCACTCCGTGCAGGGCGCGGATTATTACCTAGTATATGTATTAAAACAAACAACGGTAATGATTTCCCTTTAATGGAGATATGACAATAATACGTATTTATATACATATTGTAAAAGTGATCGGCCTGCACAAAATATTTTATATGTTCAATTATGATTAATATAATATTAACAAAATTTTATTTGTATATAATTAATTATGCATTTGATAATAAAATATCAACGATAAATTAAATATAAAATATTTTATATTTCAATAGAATATGAAGATAAAAAATATTAACTAAGATTTTAAAATATTTTTTAGATAAAATGTAAATATGATAACTAAATAAATGGGAAAACATTAAAATATATAGTAATTTATTTAATTTTTATTTTTGGTCCTCACGTATGTGCAAGCATAATTTTTTATAGATATAATTAGTTGTAATATTTAAGTATTGAGTAATTTTCTTATATATTAATTATGTTTTTATACATATATAATTTTAATGTTCAACAACAATCACACAAATATTTTATATCATTTTGTGCCTTTTGAATTTTTTTTCTAGCATTTACAGTAACATATAGTTGCAAATGTAAAATTTATATTAAATAATAATTAAAATTTTATAAGATGTTTTGAATATTATCTATATAATACTTTCTTTTTCTCTTTACATAATATAATCTTGCCAATATATATATTTTAAGTATACATTTTTCCTTGATCTATTGTTAATTAAATCAAAATGAATTCTACCATATTTATTTATTCTAAGAGCGGGTAGATGGTTGGTACGCACGAATCTCACCGCTTTTAGGACCAATAAAGATTTTTTTAAAAAAATATAAATTATCTAACAATAAAATTAAAATTAGAGTGTAATCTAGGTTAACAAAATTTATGCACGACAAGTTTGCATTCGAGTTTGACTTTTTCATAATTAATATTTATATCTACTCGTATATTTGTAAGAAAATCGAAGTATGGCTTTTATGTGTTAAAAGAAAATAACAAAATATATGTTTTGTAATATATATTTTTATAATGTATGGTTGATTTTTTAAAAATAATAATTATAAGTATATTTATCCATGTAAGTATGAGTTAGAAATAAGTGAATTGTAATATTTAGGCATTTTCCAGTATTTTCTAGTATTGGTAAGTTTTTTTCTGGTGAGTGAATTGGTAACTTTTTCTGGTATTTTCTGCAAAGGTTATGTTTTTATACGATGCAGTTATTGGCGTTTAACAGCAATCACGAAAACCGTTTCTATCGTTTTGTATTTAATCAAAGTTTTTTATTTTTCAGCGTTTGATGATATATGGTTTATCAATAAAAATATAATAAAAATTTATTATAAAATTTGTGAAATCATATTTTATAAAATTCTCTGGTAGCTCTCCGCTCATCTCTTCGTCAAATTTTTTATAATCCGCAATCGTTCGCTTTCACAAAACTCTCTGTAATCGAATCGTTTAAACCAATCAGATCTAAACTTATATGTGTATGATTTAAGAAATAAAATAATATACTTAATATTTGATTGTTATTAAAAATTAAGAGTTGATCTGTTTCTAACTTTAATATATTTGTTAATTTAAAATATAATGGATCACAACATATATAAAACTTGATTCATGAAGTAATTTTTTAATATTTTAGAAAAAATATATATGCATTAAAGAATTAATAAGTGTAAGATAATATTTTTAAATATTTCAAATAAAAACTTAAAATCGATCAAAATTATATTCGTATTTATTTTTTTTGTCTTTCTTGACTCATACTTTTCTTAACATTTAATAATATATTAACTATTAAGATCATCTGCAATGTATTTTTCTATTTTTTCCTCTTAAATATAAGTGGACTTCTCACCAATCTATTTCTATTTTACAGAAAAAAAAAGATTGTTATTTTTTCCTCTATAATTGGAGGAAAAAATAACAACCTTTCTTTTTTCTCTAAATTAGAAGAATAAAATAAAGTTGTGTTAAAGATTTTAAACCAAAAATATAGTCTGAGATTTTTATATAAAACGAAAGTCGTAAAGATTTATTTTTACTTTTACTTCTACTTTCTATTCATATATACAATATTATAATAAAAAGTTAGCTAAGAAGATACTTATAATTTATTTTTCTATCTATTTTTTTAATTTTATTTATAATTTTAATTTTTGCTATATAATGAGAATTCATTCATTTATGATATAAACTTTTCTTATTTAAAAAAAAGAGATTTATTTAGTTTTAACTTAACCAATCAAAATATTTCATTTATTTTAGAAAATTTGTCATGTCACATTTATGAGGTGGCATTGTTTTGCACTAAGTTTTGTTTAGGAGCTGACACATCAGATTTTTTCATTAAATATGATTTTCAAATAATAGTTAAGATTTTGCTTCCAAACGATAATAGTTATTCCATCTGCTTTTTTTTATTAGATGATGTTTAAGATTTTTACACACATATTAAGAAATCATTTAATTTTAATTTTATATTTTTTCAAAATAAAACATATTTTATCATCAATTCCAAAACAATTTAACAATAGAAAAAAACATGCAGAATACAAACAGTTTAAACAATATAAATACAATTAATTTTTGCATAGATATATGAGAACATCAACTATTTTTGAACAAAAATAAATCTCTAAAACATTTTATATAAATAAAACGGAGGGAGTATTATACTCTCCAATACATTACGCACACTACCTCGTTCCTGATTCTCAATTGTATATTAGGACTATCCAATTCTTCTTATAATTCGTCTGTTTCTATATATTATTTCTCTTAGATTTGATCACATTTTCGTTACGTTTAGT